TTCGAAAATTCGATGGCTAGTCTTATCCAATTGCAAATGATCGTAGAAAATGTTAACAAACAAAACTCGTATAACCAGGCACTCATTAAAAAAGCTTCAAGGATCTATTATAAAAAGTGGCTCTTGAAAATTCAATTATTTGTACCACATATGAAGGGTAGACAATTTGAAGGATCTATACTCCAATCTCAGTGAAACTTTGAACATCCCAAATTGATTAAATACTCCTATTTTAGTGAAATCGTATAATCAAAACGTGTATAATAATTTCATTGTATTGTCATAACGCTAACAAATATTTATAAACTAAAATTTCGCAAAAAAATAAAATTTGATCATCTTAATAAAGATGCGAATGAAACAACATTTAGCAGTGGCTGTATGACAGTGCGTCCCAATTAGTTTTACTAGATATTTAAAGTGTTTTTATGTTGCTTATAAAACAGGCAAGCTAAATAAATTCTGCAATTTAAAGCCTGTTAAGCAAACAGGTCGAAATATTTTATCACAATTTTAAATATTGGATTCTCTATAACTCTCGGTTTTGTAGCCATTCTATTGGGGAACTAGCTTTGAATTAATTGGTAGATAACAGTTAGTCCGCAAATGTTTCCTGCGTCTGATTGGTTTACACATCAGGTTCTATTAACTCGAACGATATATAAATTGTACGAGCTACATCCTTGTAAACTTCATTACAATGATTGAAGAAACATCAGTTGTGAGCAAAACAGCAAAACCCCTTGATGTTGAAGCTGATTGTACCGATCCTCCACCAAAGGATAAATTTAGACTGACATATATTATTTTCTTTTTCATTGGTATTGGTACGCTTTTACCATGGAATTTCTTCATTACTGCAAATCAATACTTCCAGTACCAACTCCGCAATCAAAGCCTTCCAGCCGATGCTGATCCCATGATTCCTATGCACAGAACTGAGCTCCAGAAAGTCTTCTCAACCTACCTTACAATTTCATCTATTGTCCCCGCAACACTGGGAAATTTCCTCAATCTTGGTATTAAAGATTGGCTCCCGGTTTATCCTCGTTTAATTGGATCTTCTGCAATCATGCTAACCATCTTTATTATCACTACTGCATTAACAAAAATCGCTATTAACACGCGTATTTTCTTTGCTCTAACACTTATCACCGTTGCAATTAACAATGGTAGGTGATTTTTGCCATTTTTTTTTACCAAAAATGCCTATTTTTAGTTGCAAGTGCAATCAATCAGGGTAGTACCTATGGTGTCCTTTCTATTCTACCGGGAAGCAATGTGCAAGGTTTTCTTGAGGGTCAAGCGGTCGCTGGTATCAGTGCCGCTGTCGCCAGTATAATCGCAATTGCAGCCGCCAGCAGCCCAACGGGAGTCGGTTTCGCGTACTTCCTAATCGCAGTGAGCATCATTGCTCTCACAATTTTCCTCTTTATTGTGCTCTTCAAGAATCCCTACTTCCAGTACTACTGGAGTAGGCGGAATGTGGCTACGCAAGACCACACATCCTTAAATGGCAAAATCAAGAACACTTTCAGAAACCTCTATCTTGCAATGTACGATGTGAAATGGACCGGTATCACCACCTTCTTCATCTTTACCTGCACTCTTTCAATTTTTCCGAGCATATTTATTCTTCTAGTTCCTAATAATTTCGACGCAAACAGTGTTTGGCACAGTAAGTCACTTCGTCAATTGAAAGATCCTAAAAACGTATACTTGTTTAAGTGGAATGTTCGCCTTTATTTCAGCTAAGTACTTCCATGCTGTCGTCATCTTCTTGAATTTTAACATTTCCGACTACATTGGTCGTATGCTTGTTACCTGGTTCAAATGGGTATGTCAAGCTCCCTAAAACGGTTAAATCCTGATATTGAAAGGGGATTGTTTATGATTGATTCTGTCTTTTCTTCTAGCCCAGGTTTGAGCAACGCCGGATCCTCATGTTCTTGGTTATAGCCCGCTTCCTCTTTGTACCTCTGGCTCTGTTCTGCAATATTAACTCGGACAATATTCCAACTCTCTTTTATCACGATTCGATTCCATTCATCATTGTGATGCTTTTGGGTCTTACCAACGGATATTTTGTGTCCTTAGCTGTCACCTACGCTCCCAAATATGCAAGCCCGGGTAATGAAGAAGGCTGTGGTATTGCTACATCAACCTACATTGCCCTCGGTCTTGTTACGGGTGTTGCTATGTCCTATGGACTTGTGGCTCTTGTTTAGACCTATTCATAAAGATTTAAACTTTCAATATTTTTTTTCTAGTAGTATAGCTTACCGATTCCTCCAGCTTCCGCATTTCCATAAATTTTGAATAGTGTATTTACGTGATGACTGTATAGTAAATATGCGTGTGTTAACTGGATTAACTTTCTTGTCTGTGTCAAAAGGGCCATTATTTTTTTTGGTGCATTTATTTATAATTCTTTGACCACATTCATTTGAAAAATTGTTGAGAGCCAACAACATTGAACTAAAGCTGGGCTCTCGGTAACTTCATTTTGGACATTTGAATTACAGAGAAAGAGTAGGACTGTACGCAATGGATTTCGGCAACGCGATCATATTTCGTTACAAGCATTCAATTGTTCTCCATGAAATTAAATTTGGAAAAATTGAAATCCTAAACTGAAACATGTCTTATTTAAGGTCCAGCACATAATATTTTCGATGTCTGTCCATTGATTGAAACCGTAAATTTCCGATGTTCACTATGTAGACTTCAATCTCTTTCGTGAAACCTCGCAAAAGGACTAGTTTTTGTTCACATACTTATTCAGAAATGCCTATAGTTTTGATGGTTGTGAGTCATAAGATCATAAGTGGATATGAGAATAACAGAGATCGGGAATTTTAACTTCCAGACAGATCATGCAAATAACTTTTCAACACCTATTTTTGTGAAGGGGTTAGCAGCAAGGAGCCTCCCTAATGAGAATTTCAACTTCTACCAATCCTTTTTTGACCAAACTTAAGTATGGAGGTTGTGCATTCCTCTCACTGAATAGGCACCAGTGGCCTTTGAGCGAATACCTTCCGATTTCTCAGACGATCAATTCAACCTCTGCGCCACAACAGGACAACTAAAATGGATCAAAATGTTATTCATTAGATATGCAACTGAAAGTTTCTAAACCACTTAGTTTGATTGGCTAAATTGAGGTAAACCTCTATAAATATAAACGTTTGAAAAACATATAGGAGATGTCAATATTGCAACAACAGAAACTGACTTTAATTGATAATTTAGGCAATTTCGTAACTAGCTTCAATATAAAAGCGTACTACAATATAATAGAACTTTCACAATTTATAGTACACTTTTACCAAATGTCCTCCACTCGTAACCCCCAAAAGCCATAAAATTAGTAGCGACTCTCTTTATAATCACGAGTTTTAAAGTACTTAATTCACGAAACTTTGCTGCCAAATCAATCCTTCATTGTTACTTCTGATTTTACTTGAGGGCACCTCCGATACGATTATAGGCTCTAACAACGACATGATCGAATGCCTCAACTAAACGAAAGTGGCTTTGAATAGATGGATAACTTTAAAATATCAGTAGCATCAGATTTTGCAAATGCTAGAAGGCTTATATCAATTTTTTTAAAAAAAACTTTAAAATACCTCCTTTGAACTCAAGCCGAATGCCAAAAACAGATCCCATTACATTTGGTCGAAAGTTAAACCAATCTATTAAGATTCAGTTCAACAAATTTGAAAATACAGGCGATGCACCCAATATATTAGAACTTAGTGATGGTGTGTGTACTATTTTACACTCAGGCAACTTACAGCGAATTTTATGAAATACGCACTAAGCCAATATCTAACCCAAATCTTCGCTAAGTCACCTTTAAAACTTGTATCCACTCAATTGGATTGACCTTAAAATATATCGAATAGCGAAGGAGGATAATAGGCGTAATAAGCCTAAATAAAAGAAATAGTATATCGAAATAGATTTGTAGGCAACTTTAGTGAGTTTATGTGACATATTGTGGCAGTTAATGTTAGCAACAAGAAACACTGCTTATGAAGCCCATTTTAATCATGTAGCGGATTGCTACCTTAGTAAAGCCTGACCGACTCGGAAATCTCTATGGCAGATCCTCCTACACCCAGCTAGACTCCCAGAACCAGCTAAGCTATAGCCCAGCTATGAAAGGAAACAGACGTATAGCACGGAGCAAGTTTATTCAGGACGTATGTTGCGGATAAAGTGTACACCCAGGAAGCTTAATCATGATCAGGATGGCGGATTAGGTTAAACAAACAGAGATTGATGATTGGTCACTGTTTGTACGGTCGCACCTCCCAATCCTGACGTGCAGGCATGCGGTGACGTGTCCCACAATTAACTCTCTCCAACCTTCAACTCGTTTTAACACTTTTGTACCTTTTTTAGTTTTCACGCGTTTCATAATTTATTTTTTATATCAAATGGCAGGCGTTTTGATAGTGTGCATTAGTAACAGATAACAATTTGACTGCTGCTCTGACCTCAGCATAATTCGGGAATACTGAAACAAGACCAGATACTATTAAGAACTTGAACAGAGGGAGTTTGCTATGGCAACAGGCGGAAATTTGCAATTTATTATAATTTCTATGTGATGAAAGTTGATCTATTATAAATACAACATTATTTTTACACATATGCCTATGCGTATATAAGACGAGCATAATATAGAACGTAACATCAATAAGCATACACGATAGTAATAGAAATCGAATACGCATAAGCGAGTCCGTTAGCCATATACCAGTTCTCTAGCGGGGTTATCATGATCCAACTATATGGAGTAAATTCGTATCATATCGGAGGGAGAAATTGCTTCCCAATTACGGTACGAAGTCTTCGTTTAATTTCCGCGGTTTTTAAAATTTATAATTTTACTGTTAAGTCTACACAACCATGACGTTGGTAAATATATAATGGGATTGCTTAATTATATTCATGTATGAAAGTAGTCAAAATTTAGTACATTTTAGGCGGAGTGCCACTGTGTCCTTTGTCATATCGACATTTGTTCTCGAAAATAATTCAGATTTTTACAGAAGTCTATTGAATTATTCCATGGTCAAATGAATAATTTGCTTATTTAGAGGCTAATAAAATGAATTGACTGGTGCTATATGCCCCAAGTGTGTTGCAACTGAGAAATTGAGAGATAGGTTAATCTAGTAACCTAGTAATCAATGGAAAAGCAATTCAGAATCATTCAAAATCGACTCCGCCGCAAGTTCCGTCATCTTTTAATGGAAATAGATGCTCCCACCATTCAACTTTTTTTATGATTCAAGGTCCTAGGTCTCTTTTGTCTTACTTTGATATACCATTCTGCCTGTAATTTCTAGTTTGCTATGTGTGTTACCTGTTTCTATTTGATATTTCTTGCTTCAAGGTTACATAATCTCCTAATATTTAAAAAAGTTACTCATTTTGAAATGGTATCTAATAAAATATCTTCGTTCTTATTTTCAAGAATAAAAATTCGAATAACTTGAATATTTCATACCAAAACGAAATTAATTAAAAACTCCATTAATTCTCAGAGATGAAATCTTCTATCCTCTTCATTAATTCGCATCAATTGATCAACTTTTAATTCTGCAAATGCTAATTGTAACGCGACAGTTACTTGTTGATCAGGTGAAAGTTTTATCTAACAAAGGTATTGTATCAAATTGACATTAAGGAACAATGTTAATTATGTTGAGTCAGAAAAAAACTCAATTTACAAATCATATCATAAGTGTTATATCAATGACAATTCGCAAACAAAATTGGCATCAAAAGACATTAATGAATGGATATTGTACGAATTGGGTTAAAAATTATCCAATCTGTCAAGTTATGACTTGTTTAGGCTGAATGATCAGAATTAGGAATCTCCTTGGGGACGATTTTTATATACGCAGTTTCACCACATCTTCTGATTAACAGACTTGGCCTTAGTTAGATTGAGAAATATGAACTTTCTTTAACCCACTTGCCACGAACTCTTTTCAGCCATGGTACAAGAAACCCACAAATAATGCCAAGCTGTATTCGACTTAATCATTTATTTATATAAAATGTAAGGATTTATGATAGCTATCATAGGGTGTGCGATAGACTCACCTCTACGTGGTGCACCCTGCGCAACGTACACTCATACGGCAAAAAAGTCTATTAACTGGCAGTTGACTTCTGACTTCAAACTACCATGACCCCACTGTATGTCTTATTGGATCACCACCACCGTACTTATCCTACCTT